GACATTGTTGCTGCACACACTCAACACATTCACCTCTCACACACACAGACACAAACACAGAGCTAGAGCTAACGATGCTAACGCTGCTAGCTCTTTGTTGACTTCCGGTGGTGTCACACTGTGAAGCTCCGGCAGAAATTTCATATTTCCGCCTTTAATAAGAACCAACTGTTGAAATGAAAACAGAATAGTAATTGATGCGAGTTGGCACTAAACTCAATTACTTGATTTAAAAAATCCTGTTCTGTCTGATTTCACATTTTAACAGCTTAGTTTATCTGCAGCTTGTTGATAAAAACTTGATACTGATTCTACAGTAGGAACATAGAGAGGACACTTAGAGAGGACACTGCCATTTTCCCAAAACTTATTTCTTTCTGATACATATTCAAAGAAAACATTTAACTATTCTAAAAATTCACTCATGAATATAGGAAAATACAACATTTTCATCTGGTCTTTTTTTCACCTAAACGCAACATTTATGTTGCATTTTATGGAAATGCAACATAAATGTTGCAATAAATGCAACATGTTAACTGCATTTTCGTCCTTCATCCTTTGAGAACAAAAAGTCTCAGCAAAAAAAGAAACTTTTTATTAATTCTTCAGTTATTATTAGTGTATTGTATATATTTATATATTTTTCCTTTCTTTTTAATTTACTCATTGGTTGTTGTTGTTGTTAAGCACTTTGATAACAGGTTCTGTTTTAAATGTGCTCTATAAATAAAGTTGACTTGACTTGAGGTATTACTGTTTTCATTAATTCTGACTGAAAATATTGAACACTAATATTTTCAGCCGCTAGATGGCACTTGAGTAGTATGGCAGGAAGTTGTGTCATGTAATAGTTAAAAGTGGCTATTAATGACACAATTGGCTTGCTATAATATATTGCCTTTGTCCAGTTCGCCTGGGGTAACCATCAAATCAGCTTGATTTCACTGCACCGCCCCGGTGGAATACAGCTAAGTTAACATTGAAGTGCATTTAAGTAAAAGTTCAACTGAGACACACCTTCACTATAATGTCGAGCAAACAAATTGTTTTTAAGTGTCAATCTTGTTAAATTCTTGTTAAAGTCCTCCCGTGCACGCTCCCACGGCCGCCATTTGGAAACCAATCGATTTTTGCCACAACACCGGCCCACGTTTCCATGTAGTCAGTGTTGACGTATAATAGATGTAACGTATATGATGAAGCAACGTATTTATGGATTTTTCCACTTTATTAGACATATTTGGACTAATGTGACTTATAGGGTGGTGCGACGTGTACAGTGGAAAATACGGTACTTTATACTTAACAAGCCTTTATTTTAAAATACAGCATATTTGGAACGTAGAAAATAATTTACAGGTAGAAAACCATTGGAATTAAACAAATATATAAATCTACATTGTACAAATGTACAGTTTACTGCAGCCTTTTATTTGTTACAGAAACCAAAGAAAGTTTATTAAATGGCTTTTTTTTAATGAAAGTGATGTCTGGCAAGAAAATTATTACTTTTAATATCAGTTTAATATTTTCTGAAACACTCCCAAGCAGACAAAGTGATCTCAGTTTGGAGAAACAAGAAGATTCCTGACAGACAAAGAAACATGTTCAGATGAACATCTGAAAAATAAAGTTTTAAAAGTCTAAAACATCGCAAACGTTCAGAAAAAAAAACAAGTTTTGGTTCAAGAAAAACTGCATAATATGAACTTTAATATGGAGTTGGGGAGAAAGCGGTACGCCACCAACACTGTTTATAGTGGGAGTGGTGTGCTGCTGACCTCAACCCGGGATGTTGTGGGTCGGTGGGCGGAATACTTTGAAGACCTCCTCAATCCCACCGGCACGTCTTCCACTGAGGAAGCGGAGTCTGGAGACTCTGGGTCGGGCCCTCCAATCTCTGGTGCTGAGGTCACCGAGGTGGTTAAAAAGCTCCTCGGTGGCAGGGCCCCAGGGGTGGATGAGATTCGCCCGGAGTTCCTTAAGGCTCTGGATGTTGTAGAGTTGTGTTGGCTTACGCGACTCTGCAATATTGCGTGGACATCAGGGGAAGTTCCCCTGGATTGGCAGACCGGGGTGGTGGTCCCCTTATTCAAAAAGGGGGTCCGTAGAGTGTGTTCCAACTACAGGGGAATCACGCTCTTAAGCCTCCCTGGTAAGGTCTACTCGGGGGTTCTGGAGAGGAGGGTCTGTCGGATAGTCGAACCTCAGATTCAGGAGGAGCAGTGCGGTTTTCGTCCTGGCCGTGGAACACTGGACCAGCTCTACACTCTCAGCAGGGTCCTGGAGGGTGCGTGGGAGTTTGCCCAACCGGTCTACATGTGCTTTGTGGACTTGGAGAAGGCGTTCGACCGCGTCCCTGGGGGTACTCTGGGAGTATGGGGTACCGGGCCTCGGATACAAGCAGCTCTGGACGCCTGCAGGGTGAGGTGTTCCGGACACGTCCCACCGGAAGGAGGCCCAGAAGTCCCACAAGCAGCACACTCCCATGGTGGAAAAAACAGTGTGTTGGTGAAAGTAAAAGGCTTTTATTCGGTCTGAGTTGTCATGTGGTTTTGGAAACTTGTTCTATCACTGTAACTTTTTCCACATGTCTCACATGAGAAAGGCTTCTCACCTGTGAGTTTTCAAGTGTTTGATTAAAGCAAAGTTTCGAGTAAAACCTTTTCCACAGGTCTGACATGAGAAAGGTTTCTCACCTGTGTGAGTTCTCATGTGTCTGATTAAATCAAATTTCTGATTAAAACTTTTTCCACATGTCTCACATGAGAAAGGTTTCTCACCTGTGTGAGTTCTAATGTGAACTCTTAAAATATATTTGTTTTTGAAAGTTTTTCCACAAGTCATACACAATACAGACGTTGTTTGGTTTATATTTACGTTTGGACGGTCCACATCATCACCATAACCTCCTGTTTGTAGATTTGTCTTATTTTGTTTCGGCTCTTCATCGCTGCAGGATCCAGCCTCTACATTCCAGCTTCTTTCCTGATCTTGGTTCTCCACTTTAGGATAGTTTTGTGGAA